AGATGAACATCTTCGTGAACACGAATCTCATTAGATCCACCAATGTGATGACAACTGTTTCAGCACACTGTAAAACGCAAAAGTTAAATTACCCCTTAAGCATATCTCAAGAATGCTTGTTTAAAGTCCATGAATAGATCAACTCTTAAACAACACTCAACCCTCAAGGATCGTTAATAATGTGCTTGTCACCAATCCAGAAGTCAAGACACAAGATACTTTCAACTCTTTTCGGCAGTTACGGTAACTCCGTTCAGGCTGTACATTGGCAACTTTTGCATGCAATATTAACTGCTGGTCTGCATGAATTGTAAGAATGTAAGTAATTGCAGCGAATTCGGTTTTCATGGAACAATCCTAGAAAAGAATCGTAACTTGACTGATAATTTCTCAACAACGTATCAACCTATTAACAAGTACTAACCGTCATTTTGGAGATTCCTCCATATACTGCAATACGGAGGGAAGTAAAAAATTTGTAATTGCTATTTTGATAGCTGAGATAATACACCAAAGTATACAGGATCTTCAAAAGGAACGGATAGATCACCATATCTCGAAAAATACGTTTCTTAAAGAAACATGTTGTGAAATAAAGTTGTAATGTTTGAAAAGATTTATCTAAAGGTGATCTTGAACGTGACATTGAGTATTACCTTCAAGTTTATTTGAAGGTCAAACCTATTTTCTTAGATGAAACCCCTAGTTGGGGCAACGTAAATATAAATAGAGGGACAACTTACGTTAAAATATAACCTTGCTCATGTATTTGAGGTTGTCAAGAAACCAGTGAGGGCAAAATATCTCGAAAAATACGTTTCATGGAATGTTTTGTAATATTTGTAATGTTTGAGAAGATTCATATAATGGTGACATTAAACGTTACATTTACAATGACCGAACTCTTTAGAAGGTCAAACAGTTTGTTTAGATGGAAAACCATTTCTTGACATGAAAAGAGATATTTATTAATTTATTTTATTTATTTATTTATTTAGCAACATCCAACAGCCATAGCCAATTACAGGATGGATAAACATGAAAATATAAACAAATGCATGTTGTGGATGTATGTAGAGAGAGCTAAAACGCTGCAAAAAAAACCTCAAAACAGAACTGGGAGGAAAAAAAAGCGTTCTAGCTTTACCTACCCAGCACTCAACAATCACATCGGCAAGCTTTAACGAAAATAAGCATTAATGTCTCCCAAAGTCGCGCAAAATGAAAATATATCTAAAACGCTATTAACTGAATTATAATTACGGCACATTATATATATAGGGGAAAACTTAAGTATGTCAGTCCTAGGCCTGGCTAAGTAAAAAGTTAAACTAGTTCGTGACGCTAATCTAGGAATTAAGAAGTTAAGTTGTTCTAAGATGACACTGGAGTCAATGATGCCGTGGATGAGCTTGTGAATGAACTTAAGTGAATTCATTTTGCGTATGCTCTCTAAATTATAGATTTTGTGTCTCGCCATCAAATCACTATGAGGAAAGCCAATAGCGGGATATATCCCGTCAGCTTTGTATGAGAGGTATTTTAAAAACTTTCTTTGAACGGACTCTAAGCGGTCAATATATGATGAGGATACCATACCAGGGACGCATACTCAAGCTTAGATCTTACATAAGCATAGTACAGTATTTTCAGTGTAAAGGAGTTGTGGAAATCACCGGTATTTCTTACAATAAAACCATACGCCTTTGATGCAGCCACAACAGCATTTTCAATGTGATAGAAGGAAAGTTTTCTGGCAAATGTGACTCCCAAGTCATTAATTGTACTAGGTCTGTCAAGTTTAGCAGTATTCAAAACAAGTCTGTTTTCACGACACCAGTTGTCAACCCTTACAATGTTGCGTTGCAAGCGATGACAATCGTCAATGTTGGAGACTCTACAGAAAAGTTTCATATCGTCAGCATATATAGAAAATCGACATCGATAACTTCAGAAATATCATTTATGAACATAATAAATAACAGAGGTCCCAAATTAGATCCTTGAGGAACACCGAACATTACAGGGTATTCGCTTGACTTATGTCCATTGCACATAACATATCGTTTCCTATGACATGAATAAGATCTGAAAAATAGCAACAATGCATCTGAAAGACCAAATCTAGATAACTTATTGAGTAGAATGTTATGGTCTAAACTATCAAACGCTTTAGAGAAATCAGTATATATTACATCCGTTTGAAGTTGTCTATCGATTGATTGACAAACATATTGAGTGAGATGTAGCAAGTTAGTAACTGTGGACCTGCCCTTCATGAAACCGTGTTGTCTGACGGAGATAGACCTGCTTACATGAAAATATAGCACAGTTTGTATCACTATTTCGAATGTTTTAGCGAAATTACTGATAATTGTGATAGCCCGATAGTTTTCTACATAATTCCTCTCACCTTTTTTAAAAACAGGAGTTACCATAGACAACTTCCAAATAGATGAAATGTGATTATTTTTCAGAGAGAGATTGAGTGGATATGCTAAAATGGACGCACAATCTCTCAAAAAAAAATGCAGGTATTTGATCAGGCCCTGCAGTCATTTTTGGCTTAATTTTCTTGAGCGCCTGTAGCACATCGATTTCCTGTACACTAGGCATAGCTAGTGTAGTAGTGAAATTGTAGTCAGTAGAAAAATTAGATTGAGCTGTTGGAGTATTATAGCTCCCACTAAGTAGCCCAGGATCATGACGAGGTCATTTTAGGATTGACTGAATTTTTGACGAGAAACATCTATTTTTAAGTACTGAAATGCAAATTGCGGCAATTTCAAGCTCAAGCAAATCATTCCTAATCAACCTGACCATATTATCTTCAAGGTCATTTTTGCATGAAATGAATTTTTAAATAAACTCCAAGCTTTATGATGAGAATATAAAAAAGAAAAACATCGAAATTGATTTATTGTTGCATTAAAATGTTGGATAAAAATGTTTATTTCGAAAGTAAATATTGCGCTACCTTGAATATTGGACTTCTTCCTCCGAGACCAGCCTCCTTCACACCAGCGCAAAACGAATGAAATCTTTAAGCTACTTCCGTGTGAGTCTACTTTTTCCATAAAAATATAGTGTGCCCTAGTTGTGAGCCAAGATATTAGAAAGATGTAATTTTGTAGCTTTGCTGGCTGGAAACTTGAAGGTCTCGTCGAACTTTTCAGATTTTGTTAATTTATAGCTGTAGTATCTGTAACGGTCATTAGTTTGCTGTCTCTGCAACTATCATATTTTGCCTGTCATTAATACGTGACTAGCAACTACTATTCGTCATTTATTTGTCTGGGCGGTCCGTAGGACCTTTGCCCATTAGTCACTGTCTGATGTACGTTAGTCGAATCTGTCAGTCCTGGTTGCCCAGAAACCAGAAAAAGTCAAGGAAAAAGAGAAAGGAAAAGAAAAGAAAAAAGGGAGAAGAGCAAAGTAAAACAGATATGCTTAGTTTAAGAGGAAACACCTAGGCTTTTTGACTTGGTACACGGATTAATTTTGAGGTGAACTAAACAAATTTTTGATTCAGTTTTGTTAGAGTGTAATTTTGAGTTTACTAAAGATTCACGCTAACTTTTGATTACAGTGCGAGCCGTGGCCTTGAATTTTTACGAACCTGGTCCACTGTGTAGTCCACTGAGTCACGCAACAGAGGGTTGCTGTGCCATTCCGCTTGACTATAACGTCGCTGCGCCTAAAGCTTGACATAGTCCCTCAAGTAAGGAATGTCAAGGTCTCTGTGTAGTGTCTCATTTGAGACATACCATGGAGCGTTGCAAATTGTCCGCAAAGTTCTGCTTTGCAGTACTTGAAGACTTTGCATGTGTGTCTTGGCAAGAAAACACCAAGCCGCACATGCATAAGTAATGGCTGGTCTAATAATCATTTTATATAGTCGAACTTTGTTTATCAAACTCAATTTGGAGGATCTACATAACAAAGGATATAGTTGCCGAAACGCAATTTGGAATTTTGTTTTTATGGATGCTGTATGTTTCTGCCAGGTCATGCCTTTATCAAGGGTGACACCGAGATACTTGGCAGAATTTGTCCATGTTACACGATTTCCGTCTACAGAAACCTCTGCTGGGGGTCCGCGACGTTTTTTGGTACAATAAATAGCCTGCGTTTTCTAATGATTAATTTTTATCAGCGACCGTTCCGGCCACTCTAGAACTTCGTCCACCGCATTCTGCAACCCATCGTGAACCAGATCACCAGTACACGACTGGGCGACAAGTGCAGTGTCGTCAGCATAGAGGTAGACTTCACAGTTGCTGGGGGAAGGGACATCATGGATGAAAAGCGAATAAAGAATTGGTCCTAGGACCGAACCCTGAGGAACACCGGCCCGTACTGGTCGTGTTGTTGACAAAACATTGTTAATTTTGATCCGAAACTTCCTTCCTTCAACAAGGGATTTCAGTAATTTTAGAAGCCAAAAAGGAAAACCCTTTTGGATTAGTTTATAGAGGAGGCCCGCGTGCCACACCTTGTCAAAGGCTTTTGAGACATCCAAAAGCAAGATGCCAGTACTCATGCTAAGGGTGAACCCTCTGGTTACATGCTCCACCAGCCTGACTGCCTGTAGCTCGGTGCTATGCTCGGACCGAAAACCGAATTGGACGTCAGGAATCACATGGTGATTTGACGAAAAATTCTCAAGGCGACGATAAATCACCTTTTCGGCGAGCTTAGAAGGAGCTAACAGCAGACTTATGGGACGGTAATCCTGAGGAAATATCGAACCCACCTTCTTTGGAATCATGATGACCTCAGCAGTCTTCCACCCAGCAGGGAAGTACTGGATTTTGAGCGTCGCATTGATTATTGTCACCAAGTATGTCAGGGCTTTCGGCGAGAGCAGCTTCAACGCCTTGTTGGTGATTTGATCCTCCCCAGGTGCTTTACGTACCTTGAGGACTTGCAAGTTTCTCCTTGGAGTGAACTTGCAAGTCCGGCTATTTGCGGGATGTCCCTCCCCACAGTTCGCGCACTTGCGTTCTTCCTCTTCTGTGAGGGGGCACAAATGCGTCATCTGATCCTTTGCACATTTTAAGCATTTGGGCGGTGCAGTGCAATATGACTGCGCATGCCCATACTTTGGGCAGCGGTGACACTGCCCAATGAGTCTGGAGTTCTTCTGAATCTCAACTCGAATGGCCAGTCCCAGCAGTTCGTGTTCGTTGAACACTTGCTGAGACTTATCAGTCTTGGGCAGTATCACGACCACCAAAGGCATGGGCGCGCCGCCGCTGCGCTTCAATCGAATGATGTGAAGAGGGCTATATCCTCTCTGCTCCAGTTCTCCATTAATCTCAGTATCCGAAAAGTTGACGGGAACTCCTCGAACCACCGCATGGATGTTCCGTTCCGAAGGGAAAGGAAAAGTGTGATGGGGCACTTCTTCCTTTCGGAATAGGCGAACGATCTTACGGTAGTCGTCCTCGGATTTAGGAATAATCCTTATTCCCGCATCGACGGCAACCGCGCGATCTATTCTAATACCTAGGGAAATAAACTTGAAATTTAAAGTACGCCATCTCGTTCCGTCGCGTAAGACGATCGGAGTTATGCGCCCTTGTCGTGAGGGTTGTGTTGATGCCACGACGGTTGGACGAGATGACGGAGGAGAAGTAACATCGGCTGACGGAGTCACCTGATAGGTAGATAACGTGGTCCCTGGCTTGGTAGTAGAAGCAATAATAGTGTTTCGATTTGATGAATTGGGGGAGGTGTGAAATGGAATTGATCCTGTATTCGGAAGAGGAGGAAAGTCTTGGGTTGATCGATCAGCCTTGATTTTTGTTTTACAAATCCTTCAGTCTGTAGGCCTTCGTCTGTGGATGTGAGATAATCATCAGTAACGTTTCTCAGTGGTCTTTTTAGGGTCTTTGTCGGTTCCTTAGCGGATTCTTTTGAGTTTAGTAATGTGGTTACCTGGGCGGTAAGGCTGTCAATTTTGGCTGTCTGGTCCTTGATGGTCTCCATTAGGTCTCGAATCTGCCTCGCCTGGTCGTCTATAATCAGCATCAGTTTTTCGATCGTTTTCTGCTCCGATGACATCTGCGTCAGTGAGCTCATGTTTTCTGCTTCTGCTTGGTTTCCGCCACCGCTCAGCTCTTTCCTCATAGTATGTGGAACTGGGTCGTCTGTTGATCCTCCTGGGTCAATTTCCATCTTTTAGAAACTTTTTCTCGCCAACAAATCTCAGAAAACTTATAGCTCGCAAATGTGACAATGTTGTCAAAACCCTTTTTACAGGGCGTTACGTGACTAGCAAAACTCAAAAAAGACTTATAATGACATTCAAATAAAAAACATGCCATCATCTCTTACAACACTTGTAGATCATCTATATTATTCAGACCCCGCATGTAGGATTTTCCTTGGAATAGTATAACCTGCATGTTATTCTGTAAACTCCACCCTCATCATCTACGAAGATCGATGTATTTATGTACGAGCATACCACTTAGGGCACAACATTTTCGGAAATACTTCCTAGGGCGTTTCACGGAAATTAATTTTCATCTTGCACGACACGTTTGCTTTAAATGCAACATGTTTCTAAAATTCTCTAATTAAAATTCTGTTCACACGTTGGAGGGCAAATATTTTAATAGCTTTATTTGGAATGTTCCTGTTACGCCGGCATGTGAGAAGAGTTGCATAAATGTCTGAGTTTCGCGTCTGCCGGGCTTCAGTTGAACTATTTTACTACTAATGACACGGTCTCGTTTGCGAACAGGAATTAGTATCGCTCGTTGGAATGAAAGCAAATGAGCCCTTTGCTGCTATGTTGTTGACATCTGCTGAAATATGGAATAGAGAAGGTCTAAACTACTTAATAATAATAATAACAGACGTCTTTATTTATCCACAATTACATTGTAGTATAGCCAAATGTCAGACTTACATGGCGAAGTTTAGCTTGCTGCTACTCTTACACTTAACCATATAGTCTCTAGCAGATGTTCAACAGAATACACTATCCACAAACAGATTTGGTTCATTACTTCGAAATTAAAATTTAAAAAAAAAGAGAAAAAGGCATACTTTCCAAACCCAAATGCACCAAAAAATTATTAATCTGAATTAAAGATGGAATAAAAATGAAATGAATGATTACGTAAATTATATGTTTGGAGGATTGAGTAATAATGTTTTAACTTTTTGTCCAAAGACAGGTAATGAAAATTCTTTATATACTTTAGGAAGGTCATTATAAATAATAGCAACATTGTAAGAAAAACTCCGTTTTTTTTGTGTAGACGTATGCACGGGTATTCTAATATTATTTTCTCTGAGAGTTCTACAGTGAACATCATTATTAAATGAATTTTTTCCCTTCAAATAATAAGGTTTAGACGTGAGCATCAATTTGTGAACAAAAACTGAATAGTGATACTTGACCATGTCATTAATTTTTAACCAGTTCAGTTCAGAACGATATTTCGCTGATACATGATCAAATTTACATAAACCAAAAATGAATCGTATACAATTGTTTTGAATAACTTGAATAACGTTTTTAGTGAAATTGCCTAAACAAGTATAGTATAGGATATTACAATAATTTAGTATAGATATGACCAATGCTTCACATAGTTTTTTACGTAACTTAGAATTTAGTATAAATACCTGTTTGCTATAAGAGTGCGCAGCCACAGGTAGGTTTTCTGAGATAGACTTTTAACATGTTCAATAAACCTTAAGAATTTTTGCAGAATCAGAAAATTGCAAGATTTGGTTATTTATTTGTATGTTTTTCTTTGTGCGCAAAATAATAACATTTTAGATTTTTGTGGATTAATAAGTAGATTGTGATCTAAAGAGATTTCGTTAATTTATTAACATCGTTTTGTACAATTTCAGTAGTATTATTGACATTATCTGGGTTAAAATAATGAAGCAATTGCGTATCGTCTGCAAATGACTGGACGTGAGAATTATCAATACTTTTGCTTAAGTCGAACGTATATATGAGGAACAGAAGCGGCCCCAATACAGAGCCCTGAGGTACGCCTGAGGGAATTATTGTCACTTGAGACATTTCTTGATTGAGAAAAACACACTGAGTTCTTTGATGAAAGTAACTGTCGAAAAATGAAAGGGATACGCTGTCAAGACCTATGTAATTTAATTTAGCAAGTAATAATTTATGATTGATGCTGTCAAAGGCTTTCGAATAGTCTATAGAGATTAAGGCTAGTGCCATTTTCTTATCTAAGGCACTTAAAATATTGTCCTGCAGATTAAGTAGGGCAGATGTTGTACTAAAATTTTTTCTAAATCCGGATTGAGTGTCGGGAAGTATAAAGAATTTTTCTAGGTAAGCGGTCAATTGGAACTTTATAATTTTTTCTGAAATTTTGGATAGGATTGGTAATAAACTGATAGGTCTGAGATCATTATACTCTGAGTTTCATTTTTTTAGGAATTGGAATAATTAGAGCTTGTTTCCATGCGTTTGGAAAGTAGCCTTTTTCCAAACAGTCGTTAAAGATGTGAACGATGTGATGGAGAATACCTGGCAGGCAAAGCTGGATCATTGACAGGGATATACCATCAATTCCCTCCGCATTATATTTTAGGCTCCCTATAGCCTGTAATACGACATTCGAACTATTATATTTCCTTTATTTATTGGCCTTGCATACTGAAGTTTAATCAAATGCCAAAAGAAAACTGTCAACCTAACGGAGAGGATCTGACACCTCATTATCGCCATGCTTGCCGTGAGCAGCGATTCGTCATGGGCGCCCGCAGGAATTTTTCTGATCTGGAACAGAAAATAGAGTGAAAGTGTATCTGCTTCAATTTTTTGAAGAGGGGAGGGGGTAGCAAACATCCCCAGGAGGGTGGTAAAAAATTCTTAAAACTGTAAACCAACTCGTGCTCTGAGTGTGCAACTCTTAAGGCTCAATGTACAAACCGACAAAAATTCAGATTGTGACATGATGTTTTTCCTTCCTATCACAAGAACGAATGAAAGATGGAGTATTTGACAGATAGTGTGTGAAGTTACTTCAGTAAGTCAACTCAGTCAAGTCACCGTTTGTCGTCAAAGTGGTCTGTGGGACCTAGTGCGACCTTAGCGTTTGTGTAATGGTGTCACTTTGTAAGTCTGTCAGGTCTGGTAATCCAGAAATAAGACAATTTTAACGAAAAAAGGAGGAAAAGGAAAGATGTAAGAAATAGAGCGTATAGGAAGAAGATAAGCTTTTAGGACTGTCAGCGTTTAGGCATTGATAATATCACTTGATAGATTTTGATATGGTCTAAAAATATTTGATTTTTTTACGGATTTTGTCAGATTTGAGTTTGACTGTCCTGAATTGTTCCGTAACCATGGACTTATAACTTTTAGATCTCTCGTAAGAGAGGAAGCTGCTAGTAGTCTTCCTTTCTCTAGCTCATAAGCAAAGATCGGCACACTGAATGCCGGTGTGTACAGCGCTGTCATCGGCAAATCTGTGAATCAAATTTATCATACAGGAGAGAAGGTCGTTGATGTGTAAAATATATGTTGGAACCAGGACTGTCTAATTTAAAGAAACTGTTTGGCCTGTGCATGTCTGCCACTGTATAAATACTGCTGCTGCTTTTGGGTTTCAATAACGCCAGCTTGTTGCTGCTATTAATGGAGCTAATGCTAAGTCTAGTTCATAGCGGTGGAAATAGAAATTCGACCTCAACAAACGTAAAATGGAATATTCAAGCAGAAAAGCGCCCACTAAAACGACTGCTGCTGCGCAATTCCGGTAGATATGTCCATTTGGCTGCAGCAGGGACGTGGGCCAGCGAATTTCAGCTTGAATATATGTAGTTAGTAATTCATTCGTAGTTTCAGAAAGACTTTGTGGACGTCATCAATATTACTCTTGTCAGATTGATTTTTGTCCATATGAATAGAATTTCCAGTTCTGACTCAAAAACTATATAATAGGTATGCGATACATTGCAAAATATCAGTCAATCTAATATTCTCATATCTGGATTAGAACATGACAGTTCATCACATGTTTATTCAAATACATCACAAATTAAATATTGCTACAATTTTTGAAGGAGAGCTTACACAATTTCGTCATTTATTGACTTCATTTTCAGCATGGCTGTGCGTTCCTCCATGACACCTTATCCAAATGCAATCTGTGTGCATCGGTTTAGATATTACGGATATAAAATGTGTTCAGCTTTCCACAGCCTGCAACATCGTCGGAGATACTTATGCTGATTTCTTGAAATATACTAAGTGACATATAAATCCGAACACCCAGTTTAAATGGCTTTATTTTAATAAAATTTTGTATAAGTACTTAATGAAGCATAATAAGTAAATGATGAAAATTTCAAAATGATTGCACTGCTTTAAAGCTTTAAAGACCTTTAATAATGTGTGGATGCACCCTGATGTGCTACGCATTCTCCAACGCGCCTAGGCATGCTTCTGATCAGGTAGTCAATGTCCTCCTGTGGTATCTCATTCCAGGCAACCACCAACTCCTCTCGAAGTGCTTCTAGAGTCTGAGGAGGACGTTGCAAATTGAGCAATCTCCTACCCATCATATCCCACACGTGCTCAATTGGGGATAAGTCGGGAGATCTTGGTGGCCATGGTAACAATGTGACATCATTATGTTGAAAGAAGTCTATTGTGACTCTTGCAACATGTGGTCGGGCATTATCTTGTTGGAAAGTTGGATCTGCCAGGGTGTCAAGATAGGGTAAAAGATGGGGTTCTAGAACTTCGTCGATATAACGCTGCGCGTTCATGTTACCTCTGATGAAGATTAAAGGTGACCTGGAACCATAAGCTGTAGCACCCCAAACCATAACTCCAACAGTGTGATGAACATGTCTTTCAACAAAAAACTGTGGATTCCTCCTTTCACCACGTCGCCTTCTAACCCTGGCACGACCATCGTGCATGCCTAAACAAAATCGAGGCTCGTCACTAAAGACAATACTGTTCCATTCCTGATCCCAGAGTGACCGTTGTCGGCACCACTCAAGGCGATTACGTCGGTGTTCTCGAGTTAAAGGGAGGACCCAGTGTGGCCGGTATGAAAACAAGCCAAAACTTCTCATTCGTCGGTAAACACTTCGCATGCCAATAGGTCTTCCGTGTTCTGCAAACCATTCAGTTGCAATGGACCTGGTAGTGGAGAAGCGGTCCCTTATGGCCAATAATCTTAGGCGGCGATCTGCACGGTCTGTTGTTCTACGGCGGCATCCAGTGCCCCTTGTTCTTTGCGTACGGCCTTCTCGAAGCCATGCCTGACAACACCTAACCACAGTGTCTACACTTCTTTGCACTCTAACTGCAATTGCCCGAAAAGAAAGTCCAGCTTCCCGAAGTCCTACTATACGGCCCCTATCAAACTCACTAAGTTGACGAAATCGTACAGGTCTCCGTACTCTAGGCATCGTAACCGATCGTAAAGGATGTCAAGAACCAAAATCCGCCAACGTTGATTCTTTACTGCGGCTGAAATATTCATTTTCAGAGCGTTAGTGAATTAAAAAAAAGCAGTATAAAAACCGGAATGTCCAACTGGTAACGCTGAAAATTTTTTCACTTGTTGTTTACAGTAAGATAAATACATTCACCAACTTTTATTAAAATAAAACCATTTAAACTGGGTGTTCGGATTTATATGTCACTTAGTATATTACCGCTTTAAATGTTGCTTGCATCATCAAAATCATAATTAGGTACTGTTTACCTTTGCCTACTTCTATAAAAAATAAAGGACTACTTGGATGATGATATGAAAAAAGTCGGTATCTGATAATCTAAGGTCTACATATGAAATATTGTTTCCCCAATAGTTTATAGTTTTAAATAGTATCATACATTTTCGGAATGAGAATTAAAAAGACTATTTCATCTATGACCTTCATAAGAGAAAATACAGTTGATGATTGAGGACAAAAACTAAACATTACACTAAAATTTTTATTATGCCATCTTGCAAAGGAAAGAAAGTGACAACAGTTTGTTTTGAAATTTTACTGTAAATAAAGTCAGGGGAAGATAAAAACCATTTTGGTATAGTAGTATAAGCTTTTGGTAAAAGAAATGTTCAGCCATAAAAGCTCTCTATTGTTGTTACCTGAACACCAAAATGCTGGCTTAATGTTGTGTGGAATGCAAGTTTGCTTTCTGCAACATATTTGGTCTAAAAGGAGGTGTTTAAAATATTCTTATAGCATAGTTAAACAACACCTTGTAGGGCAAATTTTTAACTGTTGCATAAACGTTTATACAACTATTTTATACGGCATATTTCCACGTTAGTAAAAATGGTTGTGTTGTGGCATCCATGGTAACGTTTATAAAACAAGCCCGATCCTTGTTGTTTTGCTGTGCAATTTACTACTTTTGCCAACAAATTGCTCCCAACGGAAGCACTTATACAACTGTTGATAATACCTAACCTAACTTTGTTAAAATGCCATAACCAATGTTTTAAGAAAAACAACGCATACACATTGGTTCAAAAGGTTTTATCAACTGTCCAAACAGAAGATATAGATCTGGTACAAATTCTGGGTAAATCATTCAACTCTGTCAGTATTTAATTTCAGACATTGGTCAAATTGTTGTATAACACCTGCAGGCAACACCCAAATTTTCTAATAATACTTATGTTTCAGTTTGAAATTACAGATATAAAGTGATAAACATTAGTGTAATTGTGTCTAAATATAGGATTTGTGGAAGATTTGATGCAGATAAGTTCAGTTTTCCATCTTAAAATTCTAGATATACTTTTGATCATTATCAAAATATGCATGAAATAAGAAGCCCGTAGAAATTGCGTAACTACTTTGCACGATAATCACAATAAAATTTGCTGCGCAAGTAATTCAATAGCCCTATATCACAGTGTAGAAGTTTATCATATACTTGTGTATGAAATTCACAATGGCCGATATGTAAGTAAACAAGATGACTGTAATGGGTTAGTTTTATATTCTTCACTTCGTCTATGCAATACATAAGAAATAGTTTGGTTGTAATAAAGTAGAATCACGAAACAGAATAGTTGTATAGTTGACAAAAACTGAATCTTGCACTGACGCCACTGTCCTGTAGCTGCTGCAAGGGGCTTACATTTTTGTTGTATAAATGTTACCTGCAACCCTTATACAACCTTTCAAATCACTGAAGTGTCCTATTAGGTGTGCCCATTCCGCTTGTATAGCTGTTCTAAGAGGGTTTTGCCAATGTTCTTACAGTATATAATGCTGTGTAAGGAATACTGTATAATAATTTTTGCAACTCTAATAGTTGTGATAGTTGTTAGTTGGGTAGTCAGCTATTTAAATGCACAACTTTGCCCCATTTTAACCAACCTCGTGTTTCTAACTATTTCTGATATCCCAATACCAAAATCGGAGTTAAAACCCCTGGCACATTTGGTTAATGTGAGTTTGCACATGTATCCCTAGTTTAATAACACTATAATTTAATATCTTCACAACAATAGAATAAAAGTGGATTTACAAAAGGGAATATGTATATTATTTATTCTACGAACATACCGACGCAGTGGCAACCCTATTTTTGTATAAAACCTGGCTTATCCAATTTTTCAGCAAAATGATACACGAAAGAAAGCTATCCAGATCTTTTGAGATGTTTCCTATTATCTATTCAAATATTTTATACGAGGGAATGTTTTTTACCTAAAAGCATTAGCTGGCTGATTGGAAAGAATTTGTCCACAGCCATCCATAACCGGGAAGATAGAATAGTGGTGACATTCA